AATTACATGAATACTGAACATTAAGTTTTTCAAGGTTAACCACTGATGGTGAGTAGGTATATTTAGTCGTTCTAATAAAATTATTTTCAATGTTAATTGAGTAGAACGGTTTGTTATGAAGGTAATAATGGATGATAGAACCAAAACAAAAAATTATACCGTTTTAGATTCTTATTAATATAATATATGCGATATGCCAATGCGATTTAGAGATCTATCTACCTATTTAATATCGAATTTATGTTTAATGTATTAGTTAATGTTTTAACGCTGAACAGTTGTTGTAAATGTACGTGGTACCAACATAATTATAAGACTATAAGGTACGGTATATTATAAACCAAAAAAAAAAAATTATTAAGTGGATATAAGAGAAATAAAAAATAGGTTATATTATTATTAATGTTAATTGTAGTTATACTATATATATTATATATATATATACATATTAATACCTATCACTAGGTAAAATAATAACTGTAAGTCTGTAAACCATTTATTACATAAAATATACGTATTATACGGAACTACAGAACCTTGTATGTAATATTATCAATACACCTAGGAAATAGGTATATTATGTTGAATGTACTGATAATATAATAGTTGGTAAATAATTAAATGAAAATTACAATAACTTTCAGAATATTCATTTTTAAGTTTTTAACATATAACCAAGAATCATAAATAATTCAACCTACTAAACTATTAAAAAAATAAAATAAATTTATGAAGACATTTTTACTAAACTATTAAAAAAATAAAATAAATTTATGAAGACATTTTTAGAGAGCAGTAAGTATAGGTGAGAACTAAGAATGCATCAACTCACATTTTAAAAACCCTAGGTAATTATTAATTATAGGCAAATGTGGATCTAGGATGAGGCATTGGGGGCAAGTACTATGTTCATTGGAAAAAAATTATATTAAAAATATTAGTTTCGAAATCTCCATATTGCCGGAAATGTATGAAAATAAATATATTTGTAAACACTACGAACACGACAGTGCGACTAAACAATAATTGTTCACTATTTTAGGCTCGGTGCTCGGTGTCGGTAGTCTGTACATACGTGTGTTCTCGTAATAGATACATGGACATCAAGGTTTATAGATAATATTATCTATAAACCTTGCATGGACATACCAAATTCAGTTTTAGATACTCTGATAAAATGTGATAAAGAAATATTTCCACTAATATACGCTTCTCACAGTTCTGACTGCTCTACCAAGTACCAACACATAAGTGTTGCTTCGGCAGAGAGAAGTTACTCGACATTTAGAAGAATATTAAGAGGACATGATACATGTGTTGTCTCCATCTTACAAGTGCGTCACATACGTAATTTWACGCTCAGCAGATCACGTTCAGCTCCGTTAATAAAATTGTAAATTTTTTGCACATCTTAAAATACTTATAACTCGCTTCAAAATTAAAATATATCAAAAAGCCCATGGAGGTATTGAGGTCGTCTAATACGTCATAATATTCTTGCCTTTAAATTTTATAACAGATCAATTCACTCTAATTTTTAAACTAATCGAGCTAAAGGTGATCTGCTGAGCGTAAAGTTTGCTGTGTTACGCGATTGTAAGRCGGAGACAACACATGCCGATGTGGCATCCCCTTTACATGGATGCGTTGTAGGATGTCAGAAAATCAAATTTCACCGTTATTCGAGTGCACAAAAAAGAAGAAGATATTGTTATAATTACTGTGATTGACAGATTTTCAAAAAACAAAGAATAGAAAATTATATTTTATTTTATAAACGTAATAAAAGCATTAAGTTTTAAGTTTTAAGTTTATAAGTTTGTTGTATACTGTATAAATATCTACCTAAAAATATTTAAATATGTAGCCATATACCATATTTTTTTTATTTTTTTTTATATTAGCTTCTAGCATTAAACCATGGTAGTTCAGGCATAATAATTATTATAATAAAGGTAAGTTAATGGATTTTAGATGTTYATTAAATTTGGAGGATTAAAAATAAGGAAAAAATGTTATAAAAAGAAATATTGGTAGATTAGGTAGGTACTTAAATTTGGGTTATCCATCTGCAGTAAATATTATGATATGCAGTAAAATACACAATAACCCAGAATTGAAAGATATGGGAACATAATAATATAGTATTTTAAAAACAATCTTGAGCTGAATTGGAAAATTGTCTAGATTTTATTTTTTTTTAAAGGCGGGTAAGTCGTGGATGTCGCTCTGCTGTACAGTAGGTTACAAGTGGGTTACTGTAATGGATGGAATTAAATTTGAATCCAATGAT